ATTTCGACACGATTTAATTGAATCATCTTGCCAAGAGTGACGATTACCTCCCTTTGCAAAGATCCATGTTTCGTCGAGAAATACAAAATCATGTAAATTCATTTCTTTATATTTCTTGTATTTTCTCAAAAAATGGAACCTTTTAGAAACAATTTGTGGTTTCTCACATAAAGCTCGTCGATGAAACAATTCTGTTATAACAATAACATACAAAAGATTTATTAATTTATTTAAAATTTAAAACAAATTTTAACGCTAAGTGGCGTCTCATAGTTTCAGAACGACAGGTAGTCCCTCCTATTTTCCGCTACGCTTGACCGCTTGCATTTTGTCTCACTCATTCGCATAGTAACAACCTTAGACAAAACTAGTAGCGCATGGGATTGTGTTATTTGACACAGTTTTACAATAATCGGGAAAAATTAAACGAATACTACTATAACAATAGCTTTACAACCACCCTAAATAAATCTCTCATCAATTAGTTTGATAAGTCAAAACTATAAAATTCAAGCAGATATAGACGAATTTTAAGAAAATAATTTTTTTGGATACTGAATTGGTAACTAGCGTTTACATAGTTAGTTACAAATAAGTCCGGTATACAGGGTGCGCCAGAACTAGCGCCCCAGAGAAAAATTTCAAGTAGGATACCAAAAACATGGAAAAAATGTTTAAAAAATTCAATTTGTCAAAAAAATTTGACATTTGACATTTTTTTATGTCTATTTAATGATACTGATGATCTTGTATATATTTTTTTACAAATTACAATTATTTAGTAAAGGTACAAAAATTTTGCCAATAAAAGCCACAAATAGCATTGAACAGAGTTACAACTTATGATACAGCTTCCTTGTTTCTTCTTCTAATAGCCTGTACCAAAAAAACTTGGATAATTATTTTTCCAACAGAAATAAATAGAATCAAAGTGCAAAATTTGAACTCTCATAACTTCGAAATTTTTATACATACATTTTTTTTAACATTTTTTCCAAGTTTCTGGCCTCTTACGTGCTCTGGGGCACGAGTTCTGGCGCACCCTGTATGAACTTTTGTTTTTATGAATTTTTGCTCAAATTGAAAGTGATCGTAGTAGTATCCTAAAAAATCTTATAAGAAGTCACGATACATTTACAACGGTATGCCAGCGCGCAGCATACCCCCACCCAGTGACGTCACGTGCGAAGCAACTCTCTGTGCCTCGCTATTATAGTACGCATGAATTTATCTTAATCTTAACTCAATTTTCGTTGAGAATAGTTTTTTTTTGTGGATAAAGTGAGTAAAATCACAATGACTACTGGTAAAAATTCTTCGATTATAACAAACACAATATAAAAACATTTAATACATACCAATAAACATAAAATAATACCCGTGCCAAAGCCATCGCCTCACTGACAACTTCGCAACTGCGTTTTTTGAGGTGAAATATCTCAGAAACATTTGATTTTTGTATAAAAGAAGAATCTGTGTTACAACTGAACTCTACGACAAATTTTAAGCCAAGAAGCCCCACTTTTTCATACACAAAAAATATTGTGAAAAATGACAGAAGACAGAAATGAAGAAGGCTTTGGCACAACTTATACAATTAATTAATTTTTGTGGTTGGTAAATTTATTCATTTTACTTACTAGTTGTCTTTTACAATTTTGAAAACTTTAAAACAGTGTTGTTCTTAAGTAATTTTTGACAATTTTTAATTTTGAAAAGGACCTTTTATCAGAGGCAACTAAAAGTGTAACGTTAATAAGACTCTAATAACAACAAAAATATTGAAAAATGCAGATACTAAATTATTTAATACAGTGTGTCTCCGGGTAGGTGAAACGACAATATTTGAAAAAAAAAAGTTACTACATTTTGTAAAAGATTTAAACAAGTTTAAGTTTGTTGTTGAACTTTGCAACGTTTTACTAAATAACTGAATTTACTTCAAATACCAAAACACTACACTTATTTTCATTTTCAGAGAATATATACACTCTTAACTTAAAAAAAAAAAAAACTAATAACATTACCCAACAATTTTTTTTAACGTGATTGATCTATTGACACGTGTATCAGGGTGCATTAACATCCCTAATTACGAATTTGATAAGAAAAATTCTCCATCACGTACAGATTTTAAGTTACAGGAAAATAGTTTTCTCAAATTTTATCGTAAAAATTGTTCATTTAAAATAGAAATTTATTAAATAGACGACGAAAGAAATTAATTTATTCACTAAACAAGAACAATGTTGAAAGATCTATAAGATTCTAATATAAATCTGCTGTAGATGAGTTTTTTGCAAAAGCTGACTTTCTTTTTAACTTCCCTTATCAGGAACCAGCAGTAATCCCCCATCATAGCTGGATCCCATTTCTCTTGGTACCTCTTTTCAATCGTCAATATATCCTGGTGGAATCTTTCCCCTTGCTCGTCACTAACGGCACCCAAATTTGGGGGAAAAAAATTTAAATGAGAATGGAGAAAATGAATTTTAAGTGTTTTGTTTTTCGGCGATTTTGTAGAACATACTTACATATGATATCATAAAATGCCTAACTTTAAAATCTGACGTGCTATGGAATTTTCTTTATCATTTTTGTGTCTAGACATAGAATTGGACAAAAAATAACTGTTTTCTTCTGTCACAAAACGCTTGTTGGCTAGTGTAACAAATTTTTATTATAAACTTATACAGGGTGATTCTTAAATAGACCGACAGAATTTTATCACAGCTTTCCAAGGATAAATGGAAATAATCTATGCCCTTTTTACGTTCATATTTTTTAGGGGCAGAACCCCCTTGATCCGTGCCATTAACGGCGCTTATGAATTGTTGCAATAATCAAGTACATTTTCATCAAATTAATACTATGTTTCCACTAGCTGTACTAATACTAA